GGGAGGGGGGGAGGGGGAGAGAGAGGGAGGGGGAGGGGGAGGGGGAGGGGGAGAGAGAGGGAGGGGGAGGGGGGGAGAGAGAGAGGGGGGGGAGGGGAGAGAGAGGGAGGGGGAGGGGGAGAGAGAGGGAGGGGGAGGGGGAGAGAGGGGGAGGGGGAGAGAGAGGGAGGGGGAGAGAGGGGGAGGGGGAGGGGGAGAGAGGGGGAGGGGGAGAGAGGGGGAGGGGGAGAGAGGGGGAGGGGGGGAGAGAGAGGGAGGGGGAGTCCTGGGAAGCTGCCGGATACCCCCACCCCTTTAGTCATGTGCTGTATATTCGAATTGAATGAAATTGTTTACGCCCAACAAAATTATACCGAGTGGCGCAACCAGACTGGTTGCTGAGATCTAACGCGCAAAAGATTTGTGGAGAAAATCGATAAGTTTTCCTCCGGCTGGTCCAACGCAAAATAATTGTAACCGATTTGTGTTATTTTAAAATAAGAGTTTAGACCCTAACTTCGGGTATTATTAGGCAGTGAAACACTAAACAAGTTGTTTTAAACCATTACTTTACTGCCAGATGACTGAGAATATTGTTTACTAACGTTCTCAGATGCGTTGTATGTCTTACGTAACAATAGATTATCACTTTTCTTATTATTTAATCTGTGTGAAGAAAAGCAGCGTTGTAAGTTTGTGAAGCTATTTTATCCAAATCTTACCCCATTTCCCTTTTAACTAATAGAATACTCAGATATCCTACAGAGCCGCAAGCCTAGCGCATATATAGAGAGCTGCGAGCAGATGCCCTACAGAGCCGCGAGCCTAGCGCAGATATCTTACAGAGCCGCGAGCCTAGAGCAGATATCTTACAGAGCCGCGAGCCTAGCGCAGAGATCCTACAGAGCCGCGAGCCTATCTTGAGGTTATCTTGAGATGATTTCGAGGCTTTTAGTGTCCCCGCGGCCCGGTCCTCGACCAGGCCTCCACCCCCAGGAAGCAGCCCGTGACAGCTGACTAACACCCAGGTACCTATTTTACTGCTAGGAAACAGGGGCATAGGGTGAAAGAAACTCTGCCCATTGTTTCTCGCCGGCGCCCGGGATCGAACCCGGGACCACAGGATCACATGTCCAGCGTGCTGTCCGCTCGGCCGACCGGCTCCCCTAGCGCAGAGTGCTAGCGCAGCGCCTTGCGCAGAGACCCTACAGAGCCGCGAGCCTAGCGCAGATATCCTACAGAGCCGCGAGCCTAGCACAGATATCCTACAGAGCCGCGAGCCTAGCACAGATCCTAAAGAGCCGCGAGCCTAGCACAGATATCCTACAGAGCCGCGAGCCTAGCACAGATATCCTACAGAGCCGCGAGCCTAGCGCAGATATCCTACAGAGCCGCGAGCCTAGCGCAGATATCCTACAGAGCCGCGAGCCTAGCGCAGATATCCTACAGAGCCGCGAGCCTAGCGCAGATATCCTACAGAGCAGCGAGCCTAGCGCAGATATCCTACAGAGCCGCGAGCCTAGCGCAGATATCCTACAGAGCCGCGAGCCTAGCGCAGATATCCTACAGAGCCGCGAGCCTAGCGCAGATATCCTACAGAGCCGCGAGCCTAGCGCAGATCTCCTACAGAGCCGCTAGCCTAGCGCAGATATCCTACAGAGCCGCTAGCCTAGCGCAGATATCCTACAGAGCCGCTAGCCTAGAGCAGATATCCTACAGAGCCGCGAGCCTAGCACAGATATCCTACAGAGCCGCGAGCCTAGCGCAGATATCCTACAGAGCCGCGAGCCTAGCGTAGATATCCTACAGAGCCGCGAGCCTAGCGTAGATATCCTACAGAGCCGCGAGCCTAGCGCACCCATATCCACAGATGTGGATGCGCACAGACATCCACCCACTCTCAGGCTTCAGCACAGACATCCACCCACTCTCAGGCTTCAGCACAGACATCCACCCACTCTCAGGCTTCAGCACAGACATCCAACCACTCTCAGGCTTCAGCACAGACATCCACCCACTCTCAGGCTTCAGCACAGACATCCACCCACTCTCAGGCTTCAGCACAGACATCCAACCACTCTCAGGCCTCAGCACAGACAGCCAGACTCTGGAGCGTCCGCGCGGGCGTGCTCGCCGCGACAGAAGTTAGACATGCGGTGGATGCTCACGTGTTAAAATTACCCTTTTTTGCGGAGTATAAACGTACCTTGTTTGCAAGAATATTTTGTGGGGGTAGATTTCAACTTTGTTGTTTTATCGTAGATTTATTGAGTGACTCAAGTGGGTTTATGGAGAAAAAAAAAACATGATTTTGTGCATGTAAATGAACAATGCGTTCCATCCGCCAGAAACTACAGTAATCAAAAAGATATATACAAAAAAAAAGATACTCACAAAGTCGATGCTGTTGACAGGGTCGTAGTACGTGACCTGGATGGTGGTGGACGGCGGCTCCTTGTCCCGCTCTTCAGTTATCACCTGACACAGCTTGTTGAACCACAGGTCCTTGGTGGCTACACAGCTGTTGAGAAGAAGCATTTCCTTAATCTCTTTACATTTGCTGGCATATGCCCTCCGAGGGCCCGAAGACCCTGTGTTCCTCCTCGACATAATCGCATCTTCCTTGACGTAGCCAGACACATCCTTGGCCACTCTTAACGATGCTGCAATGTTTTGGGCACTTGAAGAACGTCTTAGTCGCGCGACTTTAGCCAAGCGAGATACAGACACGTCGTATGGCGTTTCTGTGGTTCCAAGACGAGAGTCGAGGACAATCTCCGCATACCCGGGTTCAGATATCCCTATAATTTCCGGTTTAGTTAACAAGCGCTCGCTGCGGGAACGTCTGAGGGCAGTGGCCTTCCTCACGCTCTTCCCTAACCGCGTTGATGCTCTTCGCAGAGCCGTGCCCTTGCTGCTGGTCCTGGCAGGGTCTGACGGTTGCGTCTGCGCCTCACAGAGTTTGTGAAGGGTTGATACCCTACGACGGACAAGCGCGGGAGAGTCTGCTCCTCCCAGACAGAGGAGAGGGGCCACGCAGCCGCCTCTCCGTCCACTACGTACCATATCCTCGCCGCACGTCATCACTCTATACACTACCACAGATAATTTAGAATTATGGGCCACTATTTGATTGAATTTATATCAGCAATTACTCTGAAGTACCTGATTATTTGGCACTTGGGTTAAGTTCGTTAAAGATGTGTAACCATATCCATACAGGGAGCAACAACCACTCGCAGAGTGCGCCCCCACCATCACCCACCGCACACTACCCCTCCGGAGGCTGTACCACGACTGACTCAAGCGGACACCACCATCCCCCCGACCCTCCCGCCTCGTCCGATTCTCCGCTTTAATTCCCGTCCTCGAACCCATAGTGTTTTCTCCGAAGGACAACTTATATCCTTTTGTATTACAATACCTGCTTAAATGAAGCAAAGACAAAATATTTCTCAAATGCATCTACTAAAAATCGTTACTGTGACTATACCATACTGTGCAAGATACAGAGGCGTGACCACCTGACCTGCTGACTACTTGACTACCTCGAGGCAAGGTTTATTATGATGATTCAATCCCTAATAGCCTCTCCTGACCTGCCACCTGAACCTCTTATAAGAAACAATCTGGCATATATGTACGTATGTATCAGTGAATGCTACCCAGGTACGTCGTGTCCAGGAGTAACGTACCTTCTGAAAATGAATGAATGGGTTGAAGGAATTTATACCAACTAGGCTTTATGCTTCCCCATCCTCATCCTGGATTCACCCCTTAATCTCAATTCGCACACCAACCACAACCAGCATCTTATATTCCAGTTACGAACACACAACACTACTTGCAGTCCCCGTGGCGAAATGATAAGACACTTGCCTGGCGTTTAGCGTTTTGGCCTGGGTTCGTATCCTGGCCGGGGAGGATTTACTGGGCGTCAATCCTTAACTGTAGCCTCTGTTCACCCAACAGGAAAATCGGTACTTGGTTGTTAAAACGATTTCCGGGGAATATTAGGATTAAGGACTTGCCCAAATCGCTATGCGTGCTAGTGACTGTACAAGAATGTAAGAACTTGCATATATAAATAAATAAATAAAATAAGTAACACAACTGCAGTAACGTGCACCCTTGTAAACAAAGGGTAGATACGGGGACAGGCGTGGGAACGGCTGGGGAGGCTGCCAGTCACCCGGGCTGCCTCTCGCTGCCCACCACACAACATACAGTCCCCCGGGCTGCCTCTCGCTGCCCACCACACAACATACAGTCCCCCGGGCTACCTCTCGCTGCCCACCACACAACATACAGTCCCCCGGGCTACCTCTCGCTGCCCACCACACAACATACAGTCCCCCGGGCTACCTCTCGCTGCCCACCACACAACATACAGTCCCCCGGGCTACCTCTCGCTGCCCACCACACAACATACAGTCCCCCGGGCTACCTCTCGCTGCCCACCTCACAACATACAGTCCCCCGGGCTACCTCTCGCTGCCCACCACACAACATACAGTCCCCCGGGCTACCTCTCGCTGCCCACCACACAACATACAGTCCCCCGGACTACCTCTCGCTGCTCACCACACAACAGTCACCCGGGCTGCCTCTCGCTGCCCACCACACAACATACAGTCCCCGAGCAACCTCTCGCTGCCCACCACACAACATACAGTCCCCCGAGCTACCTCTCGCTGCCCACCACACAACATACAGTCCCCCGGGCTACCTCTCGCTGCCCACCACACAACATACAGTCCCCCGGGCTACCTCTCGCTGCCCACCTCACAACATACAGTCCCCGGGCTACCTCTCGCTGCCCACCACACAACATACAGTCCCCCGGGCTACCTCTCGCTGCCCACCACACAACATACAGTCCCCCGGACTACCTCTCGCTGCCCACCACACAACATACAGTCCCCCGGGCTACCTCTCACTGCCCACCACACAACATAGTCACCCGGGCTGCCTCTCGCTGCCCACCACACAACATACAGTCCCCCGAGCTACCTCTCGCTGCCCACCACACAACATAGTCACCCGGGCTGCCTCTCGCTGCCCACCACACAACATAGAATCACCCGGGCTGCCTCTCGCTGCCCACCACACAACATACGTAAGTTCTCTCCTCTCCACAGCCTCAGATGCTAACGGGGGCACTCTTTTGTTTAAGAATCTTATCAAATGCAGATGCGATCAGCAGCAATAATCTAATGAACGCTTGAAATATGCTAAAGCTTTAGTGCGGGGATGACAATCATCACTTTGAATATATATATTTTATTTACATAATATATATATATATATATATATATATATATATATATATATATATATATATATATACATATATATATATACTGTATATATATAATTAAGAAAGTACATTGAGTTTATGAGAGCACATAGCACCAGTTGTGTGGCACGCTGTTATAACTAGTGGAGGTCACTTCTATTATAGCCAGAGTTTTTACATACAACGCAATACACCGCGACTATCACCTCAAGACCCGTACAAACACACGATACTAATGTTTTCATACACTGAAGGAGACGCCTAAATGCATACTAACGTGTTGGAGTCCTATCGCCTGAACACACAGGAAGCACTGTGGGCACACACGTCCTTGTTGACCGTAATCACGGCCAACATTTTTTTCATTTTTCCATAAATTTTAATTTACTGTAAACCATAAAGATTCCAACTCCATATTATTACAGGTCATCTCCAACAGGGAGTCATATAGATATATGGGGAGGTCTGTGTCGCTGAGGGTGTAGACGTGAGTTGTGGGGGCACGCAGTGTGAGGGGCGTGAGGTGGGGGGGGGGGAACACGCAGGGCGTGAGGGGGGCGCAGGGCGTGAGGTGGGGGGGGCGCACGCAGTATGAGGGCGTGAGAGGTGGGGCACGCAGTATGAGGGCGTGAGAGGTGGGGCACGCAGTATGAGGGCGTGAGAGGTGGGGGGACGCAGTACGAGGGCGTGAGAGGTGGGGGGACGCAGTATGAGGGCGTGAGAGGTGGGGGGGACGCAGTATGAGGGCGTGAGAGGTGGGGGGACGCAGTATGAGGGCGTGAGAGGTGGGGCACGCAGTATGAGGGCGTGAGAGGTGGGGCACGCAGTATGAGGGCGTGAGAGGTGGGGCACGCAGTATGAGGGCGTGAGAGGTGGGGGGACGCAGTATGAGGGCGTGAGAGGTGGGGGGGACGCAATATGAGGGCGTGAGAGGTGGGGGGGACGCAGTATGAGGGCGTGAGAGGTGGGGGGACGCAGTATGAGGGCGTGAGAGGTGGGGGGACGCAGTATGAGGGCGTGAGAGGTGGGGGGACGCAGTATGAGGGCGTGAGAGGTGGGGGGACGCAGTATGAGGGCGTGAGAGGTGGGGGGACGCAGTATGAGGGCGTGAGAGGTGGGGGGACGCAGTATGAGGGCGTGAGAGGTGGGGGGACGCAGTATGAGGGCGTGAGAGGTGGGGGGACGCAGTATGAGGGCGGGAGAGGTGGGGCACGCAGTATGAGGGCGTGAGAGGTGGGGCACGCAGTATGAGGGCGTGAGAGGTGGGGGGACGCAGTATGAGGGCGTGAGAGGTGGGGGGGACGCAATATGAGGGCGTGAGAGGTGGGGGGGACGCAGTATGAGGGCGTGAGAGGTGGGGGGACGCAGTATGAGGGCGTGAGAGGTGTGGTGTGTGAATGGAGGAAAAGGGGGGATTGGCTGCCAGCCCCCCAGGAAACACTTGGGCATGGAGGGTGGGGTGGGGCAATCCATCCCTCCCTCCCCCTATTGCTCACAATCACTACCCGCCCTCACCCTCCCACCCTTCGTCCTATCATTTCTTAAAGTGGTCGACCAACCTTCCTGTATTCACCTACTTGTGCTTTCATTGATTTTGAATGATCAAAATCATTCCTTCTGAAGATGTATTAATATATGAAAGTGCCCTGTCGTCAATGATTAGTCAAATCACGTGTTAATTTTCGTGATTTACACACACACATACATATTATATATATATATATATATATATATATATATATATATATATATATATATATATATATATATATATATATATGTGTGTGTGTGTGTGTGTGTGTGTGTGTGTGTGTGTGTGTGTGTGTGTCAACAAGCCTGAATGGTCCAGAGGCATACATGCAACTGAAAACTCACACCCCATAAGTGACTCGAACCCATACTGCCAGGCGCACAATGCATCTGGCGTACAGGACACCTTCACCACTCGACCATCACGACCGTTCAAAAGATGATGGTAGCCGAAGCTATTTACCCCACCATCCCGACTTCGGGATGTTAGCTTCGGCTACCATCATCTTTTGAACGGTCGTGATGGTCGAGTGGTGAAGGTGTCCTGTACGCCAGATGCATAGTGCGCCTGGCAGTATGAGTTCGAGTCACTTCTGTGGTGTGAATATTATATTATATATATATATATATATATATATATATATATATATATATATATATATATATATATATATATATATATATATATATAT